CCCTTGCCCTATACCTTTAGCTTTGTGTATACAAAAATGATTTTAGGCGTGTCATTTAATATATATTATATAAAATATTTATTATTTTCTGTTTTAGTCGTAAATGGCAAACATACATTGTGGAAATTCCACATGCACAATTTATATTCATAATTTAGTTTAACTGGCATATTCATTGCTGCGAAACGATTTTTACCTGCTGAGTGCAGACCTGACGTGTCCTCTTTTCTTGCTTGTCTAAAATGTTATTAAATTCTTTGGGGACCTTTTTATCATCTGCCAATCTCACATTATTATTTGACACCCATTAATAAGCAGCCTACGTGCAGACACAAAACCTATTTTAATTTGTTATTATTACTAGTAATGCAGTAACTGTGACAGTGTGCTGAAAAGTTTTCTGCTTTAATAAGGAAATGATGATCTGGAGTTATCAACCACACTTGGTATTTTATATATTTATCTTGCAGTCCCACATATTTATCCTGCATTTGAACACATTTATCCTGCAGTCCCACATATTTATCCTGCAGTTCTACACATTTATCCTGCTGTTCAACATATTTATGCTGCAGTTCCACATATTTATCCTACCGTTCAGCACATTTATCCTGCAATTCTATATATTTATCTTACAGTTCCACATATTTATCCTGCTGTTCAACAAATTTATACTACAATTCCTCATATTTATCCCGCAGCTCTACACATCCTGCAGTTCCACATATTTATCCCGCAGTTCCACACATTTATCCTGCAGTTCTACACATCCTGCAGTTCCATACATTTATCCTGCAGTTCGACATATTTATTCTGTAGTTCCACATATTTAGACTGCAGTTCAACATATTTATCCTGCAGTTCAACATATTTATCCTGCAGTTCCACTTATTTAGACTGCTGTTCTACACATTTATCCTATAATCTAGCATATTTATACTGCAGTCCAGCACACCTTGCACTTCGTTTGTCAAGTATCTTTAACCTTTCAAGCATAATTCTGATGTCTGGTTATTTAAATTCTGCTACTGTTGTTGTTGCTTCTATCCCAGCTGAATATTTCTTTTCAAACTTCTTTTAAGATTCGGAAACAGAAAATAGATGCATCGTCCTGTCAAACATGTATTGTCCTGCCAAATGAGAGCACTTTTCTGTAACTTTTCTCCCCGTTTTTCTTTCAACGCCTACTATAATCGGCACAAGTTACTAATTTCTCGAAGGAGTTCAACAATTGAAAATTCCCCACATTTCGCTGACAGGCTTCAGTCAATGGTTCGAAACAAATTCAAAAATAAGCACCAGCGGTCTGTAAATTAACACTTTACATTATAAAAAAACACTTTTTCAACTACAGCGAAAACATAATTATCAGGTTTGAGGGAGTTGGTTAGCATCCTTTCGTATTAATACTTATACTAATATCACATATTACCATAATTGCTATCATTATTGCCCTCACCAGTATAATACTGTATGAAAACGCACAGACAGTCCTCAGGTTACGAACAAGTTTCGTCTCAACTGATACGTATGGTTCTTATATAACGTAAGTTATATAAATGTCTGTCTCAGTATATAGTCTTTTATCTTTCTATGCATTTAAACACTTAAGAATATTTGCAAACTTGCAAACATCTTTAACATAATACAGTAAAGAAGAAGTATATTGTGAAGGGGGAGCAAGCAAAAATACAGAAGTACAAAGACCTGGCCGGACAAATCGGAGAAATATATAAAAATGTAGCTCAATTTGTCTCTTTTGTAATTGACGCGCATGTAACTATTTTCAGGAATCTTTCTGCTTCGCTAGACGTCTTTGGGATATCTTCAGGATGCCGAGCTGTCAGAGCTACTCGGAACAGCTCATGTGCTGAGGAATGTATGGACGTCAACATCTAAGAGTTGGAGAGGATCTCAAATCAGATAATAATAATAATAATAATAATAATAATAATAATAATAATTTCAGTTATAGTTGGAGCCCTCGGATTGACTGGAAAAGGATTGAAGAAATTCCTGGTAGCTTAAAGAAATACAAAAAAAAAAATTAATCAGACGTACAGCTCACACATTACGAAGAGTTTTCTCTATGTAAAAATGTGTGTGATCTTGGGGCTTTTTTGGCTTGTTTTTTACAAAAATGCTCAATGGAAAATGTCATGAAGCCATTTCTGACCTTAAGTCTCTGGTTGGAACCCGTAAGGAAATGTGTATACAACAGAAATCAAAGGAAATTATGATGATGAAGATGATGAAGATAGTGGTGATGGTGGTGGTGGCGGTGGTGGTGTTGATGATTATTATTATAATGATGATGATGATGAAGAAGAAGAAGCATAAGAGAGAGAGAGAGAGAGAGAGTAGTATGAATCAAATTAAGCAACCAGGAAATCATCAGAACGTTCAAATGGAAAGTACCTGGGCATTTTGAAAACAGACACTGTCAGGCAAAAAGAGATGAAGGAAAAGGTAAGCAAAGAATACCGTGAAAAAATTGAAAACTATTACAGATCAAATGTAGCAGCTTGAGAAAGTTCTAAAGAATGCTAATCTATTAAAATGATTCCCCTAAAAATTCTTCCTTATTTTTTATGAGCGGACCAGAATATTTAAGTCGTGGTCTACTTTATGCTTATGAATTCATGATATTTACAGCACAATTAAAATAAGATTTGTTTCTTACACAACGACTGGAAAGAAAATCTCTTGATTGGTTAGAAATTATAGTTTTCCTCTTCGGTGGGAATGTGTAATAACGAACATCACTAAACCAATGTTATTTATCAGCCACCAAGGCAAGGTATGTAAACTGGGTGATTTTTAAAAATCGTTTTCTAGTTTTTATAGGACGGCAAACGCCAAAGGTTTGTCATTTAGAATTTGAAGCTACCCCATTAAGGCCAACATTCTACCCATATATCAAACTTCCCGCAGAAATCCACCCACTTCTTTGTGCAACTTAATAGCAAGGTAAATGACACGCAACTGAGTTTTGGTAACAAACGAAATGGCTGTAATTGAAAAACTGTCCAGGTTTGTGATTAACCCGACTAATTGCACGAGAGTTCAACTATCAAATTTCATTTGGTTCGTAAAAAAACATTTGCCGATAGGTTACTTATTTATTTATTTATTTAGACAAAACAGCCTTGTTACAGAGTTAAATGAAATAGCTCTTCTCTTTGTTTTTTTCAACTTCCTGAAAATAAATCACAAAGATTCCAGCCATTGATATAATCAAGAAATAGTTGAAGGAGAGATTAGCAAGATCATTTTATACACGAGTCCAATCAATCCAATTTTGCATCCTTGAAACTGATTTGAATTACTGTTGGGAGTGGAAGTAAAAAAAATCAAAAAATCAAAAAAAAAAATCATGGTTCAACCTCAATCACAAAATCTGACCAAATAATCAAACATCAGATATTTTTGGCAAGGTAGCCATTCTTTGTCGAACAGAGAACTTTTAAATACCTCCTCGTATATATATATATATATATATATATATATATATATATATATATATATATATATATATATAATTTTATCATATAGACAAAAAACAGTTTACTCACTACAAAGATGCAACTTCGGTTCGGTGCATTTTAATTGCACCTCGACTGGTGAGGACTAAAAGTGGTAACCATTATTTGGTTCTCACCAGTCGAGGTGCAATTGAAATGCACCGAAACGATGTTGCATCTTTGTAGTGAGTAAACTGTTTTTTGTCTATATGATAAAATTATAATAAATAATTATTGCTCTACTATCGGTATTGAGCCCTCTTTTGAATTAATGCTGTGAACGTTAGAATTTATATACTATTTTCGTTCTCATTGCTTCGGACATATATGTGGCCTCCTTTGTAAATCACTAGTGGGTCTTAAATGCCACTTAAGATTATCGCACAAAATTTCATGACTGAATCAATAAGCTGTCAGATCCTCATACGTCGAAACCGACGGGAGAGAGTCCATATATATATATATATATATATATATATATATATATAAAGAGAGAGAGGGAGGTTGGTATGCCTTGAAACAATATAAACCTCAACCTAAACCTGAAAATTGATTAGTTTTATTTTGCCGTGAAACATATATTCATATATGTTTTTAACAACAGAGGACATTGCGTTATTTTTTGTTTTATAGTCTTGGGTATGGCACTCGGCAGCAAGGCTTCTGATCGGGAGACTGAAGTTTTTGAGGCGCGTAGAACTGCCTCTTAATTGCAGTTGTTCCCGGTGTGACAAAGAAATACCTAAACTTCAATTATGTGTAGCGCAATCGCATCATTTCCTCAACACGCTGAAAGTAAAGGCCTATGATCTTCTTCTATGTGCCGTGTCCATTCAAGACGTTGTGGATCATGGTTATCCACAATTTCCTGTCCTTTTTACCTCTTAATAATTTTTTGTCTTTTTTGTTATCTCCCCTAAATCTTGTTTCACTATCCATTTCCTCAAGATCGCTAAGTAGGTTATGCGTTGTTTTCCTCTATCCTTCTTGCCTTCAATCTGTCCTGTGAGTATCAAATTTTCCAAACCCTCTCATCTCATTATGTGCCCTAGAAATTTCAACTATCTCTTCCTGATATTAAGTATACGTGTTCTTTTTGTTTCCATTTTCTCTAAAACTTCGTTGTTGCTCACATGTTCGGTCCATGGTATTCTCAGTATCCTTCTGTAGAACTACATTTCTGATGCTTCAAGTCTCTTCGTCATCTGTAAAGAGATTGCCCAGAATCCACTGCCATACAGGAGGATTATACTACGTAACAGTTCAGTACTCTTTTCTGTGTTTCTAGCGAAATTTTCCCGTTTCTTAATACTGTGCTTAGCTTTTGGGAAGCACCTTTCGTTATCCCAATGCGCCTTTGGATTTCAGTAACTCACTTTCCGTCCTCTGTTAAAACATTTTTCAGATATTTAAAGTGTTGCACTTGTTTAATTTTGGTAACTCTTGATACTAAATGAGTAGAGGTGTATAGGCTTTATGGCATATCGACTTCTCTATAATGGTCACAGAGCGCCACAGAAGGTATATTGTCATCGTCTTAGCTCTTGTATTCAGGATTATGATTGTTACTTTAGTTTAAGGTACTTTGATTCCAATATAATGATTTGGTTTGATTTATTTTGTTTTATGGTATATCAATCACAATGGGTTATTTCATGTCGACAAGATTTTTAGAATAAATTCGTATGAATAGAATATATATTCTTTGTAAGAAATCACTTTGTAAGAGATCAGATTTCATCGATATATTTCTATAAAGAGGGTTTTGCAGAGTCTGGTTTCATTGGTAAATGTATTGCTGGTAATATTTCTGGTAATTTTCTTTACTATGAAAATTTATTGTTTGTATTTTTACTATATAAATGTACTTTTATATTTTCATAGTGTTTTGACCCCAGTTTCGGTGTTAACTATTTGCCCGAAACCTAACAGGTGCTACCACTCCGGGTTAGGGTGGACCTGGGTACAACAGCAATTAAAAGGTGATTTCACGCTCCTCAAAACCTTCAATCTCCTGATCAGAGGCCTTGCTGGTTTATCGTCATAGTCAGGACCAATGTAATGGTCAAATAATATCAAACAATTTTTCATGTTAATTCTCGTGGTTGTCTACAATTAAAACTTTTTTTTTCAAAAGAATATATTTACATATGAATCCTTTCGTGATCTGAATGTGACTAGAGATTTTGAAAGATAAAATAGAGGAATTCAACCGTCTAAGATATTTTCATATAACTTTACTGTTTCTGAAGAATGAAATTCTTTAACTTGCTTATGCCAGGTATCATTCCTAAAATAGTGAAAATGAAAGAGAAAAGTAATTTGGAATAAAGCGAGATGTCAAGTTCTTTAATGAAAGTGAACAAAATAAATATTAACATTTTAATTCGTTAGGCAAATATAAGTAGATAAGTCCTCGGGGAGAAACTGATATTGCTAAGTTCTGGAAGATTAATTCTGTATATAGGCGTTTTGAATGCGTTCTAACAAAATATGATATCTTTTCTTTGTATATTTTCCAAATCTAACTTTAGAAGAATCTGTCTATTCATTGTTACTATCTGCACTTATAAATCAAGCCTAACGTAAAAAAAAAAAAGATAAAATAGCTCTCTGCTCAAAAAGACAAATTCTGGAGAATATAAATGCCAGGATTTCGAATTCTGATTTGTAAGGCAGTTAGATCCTCTCCACATATAGGTGCAATACTGTCTTTCATTTCTCATATCCTTCGGTTTCGTCTGATATAAGCAAAGTATAGACTACATCAAGGAAAATTAGGAAGGAAGGAACGCAGGAAGGAACGCAGGAAGGAACGCGGGAAAAAGAAAGAAAAACCAAAGATGAAGGCGGTTAGATTAAGAGTGAAATAAACAGGCAAACAATATATTGTTCAGAAATATGCGGACAGCATTTGATAGATACATTTGCCGATGACCTCATAAAAATCCGATGGTAATCTCGTTTTTCTGGTTTTTTAAAAAATCTAGATACATATTTTTTTTCTATTACCGACACATGATTTTGAAAACAGATATGTACGAAGGGCTGCTGAAAAGTTCACCCTCCCAAAATTTCACTAAATGATCAAACATCAGAATGTTTTAAATCCCTTCTTGCTTAGCACGAGATCTTTTCAACACCCTATCACATATATATATATATATATATATATATATATATATAGAGAGAGAGAGAGAGAGAGAGAGTATATATTAATAAATATACATATACCTACATTCGAAGTGCAACTTAAAGTTTCCTGGTTTTACCAATTCATCAGGCTTCGAAGGTAGATATATGTATATTTATTAATATATACTTTTTAGCTCTGTCTAACCACAATGAGCACTGTTTTGTTTGCACCTTATATTAAATTAAGTAAATATTTATTCGTTTACCCGTGTATGTACGCTAACGCACGTATATACAGTTGCTAATATGTAATTATTTGGTTTATACAATCCCCCCACACACACACTTGTCTCTACTCTATGATTCACGAATGAAGACAAAGGTTTGTTTCTTAAAGTAAAGCTGTTTTTCATTTTGGTCCTTGGAAAGCCATTCGCGATGAATCGATTGTGCGAAATTTTCCCACATGTATTCATAAATATGAGAAGTCTTTTATGGATTAACACATTATAACAACTGATTTATTTTATGTTCTACATTTACAAAGTTAACACACACACATATATATATATATATACATGCATACATACATGTGTGTGTGTGTGTGTGTGTGTGTGTGTGTGTGTGTGTGTGCGTGTGTGTGTGTGCGATAAAATATAGTTTTACGGTATGCTATATTTAAGGGTTAAAATCCTCTATATCAGCGACTGGGCGTATGTAAATATAAAAGCGGCCATTGAAGTCAACACTCAAAGGCTACAATTTGTTTTATGTTACACGTCGCAAACCTTTATATAACATTGAATCGACAAGGATTCCACAAGTGGGTTGCACAAGAACTGTTTCTTTAAATGAAGAAAACACACGAAAAAGGTTTGAACGATTACTGGAATCAAACGAATCAAAAATTGAAATTTGGAGGCAAAACCGGATACGTTATTTTTGGAGAAAAAAGAACGGTGTACAATGTAAAAAAAATACCATCCCAACGATGAAGCATGGTAGTGGATACACCACTTTATGGGATTGTTTATAGCGTAGCAGTTACAGGGAAACACACCAGGCTTGAGGGTAAATGGTTTCGTTAAAATATCTATCAATGCTTTTGAAAAATATTTAAGTCGCTACTATTCATAAATGCTTGGCGTGAAAGGATTGTGAACAAACTTGTCTTAATGCTCACTAGAATGTTCCATCATTGTTACTCTTGTGTTAAGATTCGTGACTATATATATACATATATATATATATATATATATATATATATATATATATATATATATATATATATGAATGTGTGTGTGTATAAAGTGCTGTTCATATCCATTTCTCTTTGGTCACGTCTCTCTATCTCAGTCAGTTCAGATCTATCTATCTATCTATCTATCTATCAATCTATCTATCTATCTATCTATCTATCTATCTATCTATTTGCCTCATGCAGTCCATATCCATCTCTGTTCACCACTCTCTATCTCAGTCAGTTCAGATCTATCTATCTATCTATCTATCTATCTATCTATCTATCTATCTATCTATCTATCTATCTATCTCATGCAGTCCATATCCATCTCTGTTCACCACTCTCGATCTCAGTCAGTTCAAATCTATCTATCTATTTATCTATTGTTTTGTTTGTTTCTTGATAATGACAAAAGATCTATATTTGATAGAGCTAAAAATATGGAAAATAAATTATTAGATCTTTATTTTAAAATTTTAAATTTAAGTCACTACATATTAAAATTTTAAGATTTATAATTAATTACAAACTATAAAATTCTACATTTAAAATGTATTTACAATTTATTTTTAAACCATGTGCCAAAAAGAGAAAAATACCGAAGCAGACAATTATTCATGACGTCATCGGTAAGTGCATTTACCAAATGTTGTCTGCAAATTATTCAACGATATATGCGTTGTGCTGTAATGTGTATTAGATATTGGAATGAGAAATCGAAGAGCCAAGTTCGAATTCCAGTCGAGTTCATTGCATTCACTTACACGCAAATAACTTTGGGAAAGGTATGAATTGATCACTTCTCCCTCCAGCTGTGGGTTGAATAACAGGACAGACTGGGTTCTTTTGCCTACCGCAGAAAGAAATGACTCCCTACTGCGGGAAAATCTTCTGCCTAGTCAATCAATGATCAAAAGAGACATGATCGCCCAATCGTGTATCATGTATGGCAATTAATTGATATCGTTTATTTGTTTGTTCGGCGATTAATCGACTTATCAACAGTTCTTTCTTTCTTTTTTTCCTTCTTTTTCATTTTCTTCTCTTTTTAATTCTGCCTACTATGTAAGAAAAACTTGAAATTAAGATTTATTTAATAAGAAACGAGACAAAATGAAAATAAATTAGAATTTGAATGCATTATGCCAGTCCCTCAAGTGGGCAGGGCGAGCCTTCATTTGAAAATCATGTCTTTTACATGAGCTTTAATACTGACCTGACTACGTTGGGAAATAATACGCAACTATCTCACCTACCAGGCAGTCCCAGTATGAAATTCTCTCTCTCTCTCTCTCTCTCTCTCTCTCTCTCTCTCTCTCTCTCTCACTCATTCGCACAGGTGCGCGCGGGAGGGTGTGAATGGAAAACACATTAAAATTGTTCCTTGTTAATATACAAATCAATCTGAACAATACTAATTAAGGATGAAGTATATTTTCATATTATAATTTATTCGCACATGGACACACAGACACATACTTCTCTCTCTCTCTCTCTCTCTGTCTCTCTCTCTCTCTCTCTCTATTTATATCAGTCTATTCATATCTATCTCAGTTTATTCATATCTATGTGGTATCTATTTCAGTATAATCATATCTATCTAGCTAGCTATCTCAGTTTATTCATATCAATGTAGTATCTATCTATCTATCTCAGTATAACCATATCTATCTTTCTCTCTATCTATTTATGCACATATGGACATAGACATATATGTCTGTATGTCTGTCTTTGTCTCTATCTCTTTCTCTTTACTTCTATCTGTTCACATCTATCTATATATCTATCTGAGTCCAATCATATCTATCAATTTATTCGCACACGGACAGACACACATTTGTCTATCTGTCTGTGTGTCTGCCTCTTTTTATATCAGTCTGTTCATTATCTATCTATCTATCTATCTATCTCAGTCTATTTATAAAAATTTACAAATCTTAGATTATTCTCGCACAAGGATACAAACGCTCTGACTATTACTCTATGGTAATGGTTCCCAAACATTTTCGGAATGAAAATTTGCTCGCACTTCACCAAATTTTATATGATAAAAAGTATATGTACGAAGACACGAGCTCAAGTCCCGGTGAAAAGGCACAAGCGGCCCTACAGCAAAGGAAGTCCAGAGAGAGGATTAAAGAAAGATAACTGCGGATTCGAAGTTAGAACATTATCATTGATAACTCTCTCCTCCAATTTGCAGATCCTAGTTACTATATTCTTAATACTTGATATAATACTATGTCTGTTTTTATTGTGATCCTCTCAAATTCTCTTATTGACTACTGAATGTTGATATTAAATTCATTAGAGGAAGTACCGTAGTTTGTTTTTTTTTTTTGTTTTGTTTTGTTTTCTATTCTTTTATTTTCATTTTTATTTTCTCAAGTATTTTCAATGTCATCCGAGATCATCTTAGGTAACAGATATATATATATATATATATATATATATATATATATATATATATATATATATATATATATATATATATATATATCAGTCTGTTCATATCTATTACAATTTGTTAATATCTATTTCTATTCTGTTCGTCATGCCTACTCGATCTTATGTAGTTTATCGCTATCTCAGTCTCTATCTATTTATCGACATATCCAAGGCAATGTTTTTCAACACTTTTTTTTACCTTACTTGAAACTATAGTTAAATTTCCGCGTCACACCTAAATTACGATGCTCAAAATAAGAGTAAAAAAAGAGTATATATTTTATGATTTATTTATTAACAAAAACAAAACAATTTATCATAGTTTGTAATAAAAAGATAATAATTAAAATTCTTAAATAAAACACTTATTTATTTTTCTGTTTTTTGTAATTTTACATTTAATTAGATATCTGAGCTTGAATATATTTTAGAATATCTACTTTGCAAGGTCGAATTTTGAACAGGCATACTCTTAAATCTTCTTCCACTGATTCTAGCCGTGATCGATTCTTTTTTTTTTTTACTATTGTTTATTACAGAAAAGCTTGATTTTCGTATTGTTTTATATATTACGTATATGTTTGTTTATTATGTAGAGTTACCACCACTTACTTTCCTAGAGGACGCGCCAGCACCTTTCTCTTCATTTTCTTCACTAATACGTTTCACTCGAACTTCTTCTAGACACATTTTATACACACAAACAATTTTTTTAGTTTTTAAATGTTTTCCTTATTCATATTCAATATTCATTGCTTTGTAACACGCAGCAATATTATATGGTCTATGTCTACCTTTGTTTTGTTAATACATACCTATCATTTGATTATATAGATAGTTTTGTTGTTACGTTGTCATTTTATTACCCGGACCCACATTCCAGTCCATAATTATTGCTGTGGAAAAATATACCAGAAACACATGTTCTCCACCCAAACACTCGACCAGCATACTCCCGCAACAATTATAACAATTATATACTCATATAATCAATTTAAAGTGGTTTTAATTTTGATATGTACGCTTATTGCGCTTTGAACTTCTTTTGATAATAATCTAATGAAATGACCTTTGAAAATTTTTGCGGCTCACCTATGATCCTCTCACGGAACACCGGTTGAAAATCACTGATCTAAGGTATGGCGACTGAGATAACAGCGCCATTAGGTAGTATTTAAAACTGCAATCACTTGGAAACAATATGTAAACACTCGAATAATGAATACTGATTTTAGAAGGTATGCAAGTAAACCTTCCACATCTCTTTGAGAATGATTAAGTATGTATTCTTTCCAAACGATTGCAGTAAGAGCATTCACAGAAACAGTAAAATCTACAACCCCCTTTCTCCTCTCCCTATGACGTATTTACATACAGACGCGCGCGTTAGCGCGTGCATTGTTCCCAACTTTAAATTTAGTTTAAGTTTATTTTTAATAGATAGTTTTCTTCTTTACAGATTTTCCCGCTTCTTTCCGAGCGATTCCGTCAGGTCATCCCAACCATGAATTATTCCACAAAATAAAGACCTAAATCAAGTAAGTGCAACAATAGTAGGTACCTCCAGTAATTCGGTATACGTAAGTTTTAAATTAATATTTAAAAATGAAAAAGATTTCTTGAAGCTTTCATTTTAGTTTTAATTGAAAGCTAAAGGATTTAAAAATTACCATTTCCAGTAAGTAAAATACTCTGTGGTGTATTTCAACCAGAATTTATATTGATCGTAATCAATTTTTTCAGTAAGATCGATAAAAATAGGCCATTTCTGACACATTTGTAAACAAAAGTTAATTCTCGATTTTAAAAATCTTGCAAAAATAAAATATATATTTCTGAAACTTTATTTGAAGAAAGTTAGCAAATTTAAAGTTAAATTAATCTGATCTGAAACAAATATTACTTGTAACATAAAATGTTGGATACAAACATTTCTTAACTACGGGGTTTTGTTTTTCTGTCGTTTTAATCGATTGACAGCCGAACGTGTTTAGAGTTAAGTATAGCGAAGCAGGCGGTAAAGTTTATAAGGGGGGACAACTATTAAAATACGTGACCTTTTAATGATAGATTTATAGGTTTATACATCGATACTTCAGAAATTCTGCACGTAATCACATACAAAAACAAATCGAAATTCTTTTAAAATATTCGGGGTTGTTAGACTGTAATACGCTTTACAATATACGATTAGTAAATATAGTTTTACTTAATGACAATATTTCTTAAGAATTATCACATTGAAAATGAATTTTAAAGGATTTTAAAACTTTATAAATTATTCAATTTAAAATTGTAAAAAAATGAAAACAAATCTTATAAAAATCCATTTTTCGTCGAAATTTTTTTCTTCAGACAATACTGTCTTTAATATATATTATTCACAAAAGCAATTAAAAGCTTCTCTAATTAGATAATGTCTTAGTTTTATTGCGTTTGTAAATTTTTAGATTCAGAATAGATTTTCTGTAAGACCGGGTCCGATTTTGCAAAAACAAAATCGGTGATTGAAATTCTTCAAAGATTTCTACAAATATAGTCACTAAAAATTATCATTGTTATTATTGAATTTCTCAAGTTTTCATAAAATTAGGTAACGGGATGAAGCACTTGTAAAAAAAATATTTTTCCCAAGATTTTCTAAAAAAAAAAAATTAAAAATAATTTAATTTATTTGTGAATAATTCCTGAAAATTTCATTAAAACCCGACTATTATTTGATCTTTGCAAGAATTTCCAAATTAATGTATCTGTCACCGCAAAAAAAGAGGCTAAAATTTGCTCTGCTAAAATTTAGTACAACCCCTGACGCAAGAAAAACAAGTTTTTTAATCAAAATTTCGATTGTTCTAAAAAGGAGTAAAAAATTTGATTAAATAATAAAAAAATACATTGATCCTTCTTCGTGATAAAAATATAACGGTGTTTACGATAAAACGATTTTCATTACGTTTGGAGCATGTTTTCATCACGGTATGCTGATTTTTAGCGTTTTCGTGGAGGTATCTAAACAATAGTCAATTTTTAAAGGATAACTTTTGTTTGTATATATCTGTTTCCGGTAACAAACAAATAAACAATAAAAATTGCCAAGAGAGTTAAGTTAGTTTAAATAATAATGGTGTCAAGAGTAAAACCGTCTTTTTGACATTCGGTTTTTTGTGTGCTCCATTGTTCAAATTTATTCCAAATTCTATTGTTATCCCTGTGAAAATCGTAAACCCGAGTTAAGGATGCACAACCTATCTCTATTATGAGACAATTTGAGATGAAGAAGATCACCATATGTAAAGTATGTTAGTCCATAAAAAAGTAATTTGCCAATGCACTGAGGCATTTTCTATTTGATGGATTTATCTTACAAATTTTGCTGTTTAATTTTAAATAGAATATAAATTTTATTTTCCAGCCAATGAAAACATTAGATCCTGTAGTGATTAATAGCAGAGATTCCTGACGTGGCCCAGAGTAAAAGATAATTTCAAATATAAGACAGGAAATATGAAAAAATATTTTCTTAAATATACTTTTCTTGCAAAAAAAATATATCTATACTATTTAGACATAAAAAGTATGTATTACGGAAAAATATTTTGATATCCCAAAAATGATGTAGTCCCTTAGTTTAACAGGGCTTCTGGGTACACAACATCAGTGCTTCTCACTTGTACTGATGAAGTTCCATGCTTTAACTGCAAAAATAATATATATGTACAACGTAGCAGTTTTTCCCTGGGTTCAGTTCTGAGTCCAACTTTTAGCAACTTTTATGTGGCTAACCTCGAAAATAATACACACACACACAAACATATATATATATATATATATATATATATATATATATATATATATATATTGTATCTGCAGTGCATACGACGCAAGCAGATTTTGATATCAAATCTTGGGGTAAAAATGTGCGTTTTATACACCGCAAAAGCTTATATTGTTTCCTATGAATGTTGAATATGTGCGAAATTAAGACTTATTTTGATTTCTTTCCATCAAGCATGAATTCAATTTGACTGGAATATTTATCTTCTAAAATTTGGTTTTAAAAACTCGAATTAAGTACGATTATATGCAACAATGTAAGAGCTAATATTATGCTCAATGTGTGTGTGTGCGTGTCTGCACGCACACATACACTTGGGCGCTCGAGCGTGCGTGTGTGTAGGTGCGTGTGTGTAGGTGCGTGTGTGTAGATTAATTTTCTAAAATGTTTTTCAGCATTAACGTTACTGAAGAACACATACACTTTCGACATCAGGACACGTTCTTTTTAACTGTAAATTTATCTGCCTTAAAAAAATGAAACATTTATGATCCTTAACAAGTTCAAGGGTGTTTATCAAATTCTCTCAAGTTGGCCTTGAAAAAAAACTCTTCTTTTCAAACGTTTTCAAGACATTTAATCTAATAATTACCTTAATTTTTCTAGTGCTTCAAAATTTGGACACTTGTTAATCGCAATGCCCTTGGGTGTCAGGGTGTTACTCACCTTGGCTGAACACCTACCAATTACGTGGATTAAAGAACAGTAAAGAAATAATGATTGGTCTTGTGCACTTGCAAGTATATCTTAGTGGTTATCTCACGGGATGTTAAGCAAGAGGTATTATTTCACTATCAATGTGCATGTCTTTCTCGCTAACAGTTAACCTAACATTTCTTTAGAACTTTGAGAAGAAATTCTCAAAAAATTGTTTAAAAAAATGAACACATTCAACATATAGTTAGTGTTGGCAACATGACTTTCCGGCTGACCTATTCTTCAGCCTTCAGCCTTTTTGTTCTCTGTCGCCACATTTTTTTCCTTTTCTCGCTTTTTACACGAAAAATACACACGACGAAGGCTAGAGAATGGATCGTCCGAAACGTATATGAAGAAGAGGTTCAGTTTTTCGAATAATTTTTAGAAGTTAAGCCTGGTATTTTTTAAAATTAAATTCGAATTTACATACACTCACCGACAATAGTTCTGTGTACCTACTTAATGCCCAAGACTATTGCACTTTATTGAGGGGTACCATTGGTGTTCCAGCCTTGATAAAAAAAAAACAGGTATTTAATGCCGACTTTTAAAGAAGGCATCCAAATCTTTATAACTCGGAAAAATGATATCACACAATTTTCTTACAATTCACTTCTCTTCATTTGGCACAGTACTGAACTAAGTTAAGCTTACAAAATATCTATAATGTTAATGTTTAAATCATGGGGACTCGTTCGAAATAGAAAAAGTCCTATCATTGTTTAAATCATGGGGACTCTTTCGAAATAGAAAAAGTCCTATCATTGTTTAAATCATGGGAACTCGTTCGAAATAGAAAAAGTATTATCAATGTTTAAACCATGTGAGTTCTTTCTAAAATGAAGAGTCATTATAAACAATTAAATCATTTTAGCTCTTTTGAAAATAATATCATCATTAATTTTTAAAAAGGAGTTTTTCTGCACATCTAAGAATGTTGTCTAGACAAACATTTTATACCTGGTCTGAAGCTCATTCCCAACCTCAAATGGAACACGTATATTCGTGCCATTTCAAGAGATACTAGAATAATATTTGGTTCCTTTAATTACCCAAGAAAATACCTAGCTCCAGTTATCATACTCTATCTTAGAGTATTGCTGCCATGTCTGAGTTGGCACTGCCCAATTCTCACTGTCCAGCCTTGACAGAGTTCAAAAGTGATTAGGCGGCCTTGTCAGTGATTAATTATACTCCACCCAGCAACTCTTGTGCTATAGCCAAAACGTTGCTAAACTCTCACTCCCCTATCGCTATTATTAGGGTAGACGTTCAAACAAGTTACATTCCTTAGTCCCACCAGATCAGACCATCACAGCTTGAACGCGCCATGCTGTGTTCACCGTAATAAATCATCCCCATTCCATTCGTGTTCATTAGATAAGGAGTAAGTTAGAGCTGTAAGAACAAAACTGTTTCTTTGTGGAACAAACTCCCCAGAGGATGCTTCCCCGACAACTACAAACTTGGTCTTTTCAAGTCCTGTCCTCATAATGTGCACTTAATTCCTTCTTACCCCTTCTTTGCAACAATCTTGCTCAGTAACCCTCTACCGTTAGTGGCTACTGGGCCTTGTATTTGGCGAACGAACAGTATAAAATTGTCCTTATAAAATATTATAATTTATCTGTTCTTCATTTCTAATATGTAGGTACTAAAAATATTACAAATTATGGCACTGTTTACGACTTTTGTTATAAAAATTCATAAATATTATTGCAATAAATTAATTATCCATGAAATTTTTATGTTGGTTTAAATTGCAGGCAGATAACATATAGAGAGTCTAATTTAATTAAATGCTTTAGGCTATTGAAAATGTCACTTTTTGTTATTCCAAATTAACTACGATTGAGCCATGATAGATGTCTGCCGATATTCTGTAATTAAAAATCTTTAAAAAATAAAACATCTATTATAAAAGTGCGGGATTGGACGAAAATAAGTTAATAATTGCTTAACTGGATTTTTAAAATATATTACATAATTTTTATTTAGAATAGTGAA